CTCGAAGAGTAGGGTCATGGCTGCTTTGACCTCTGTCGCGTTGATATACTCTTGCGCACTCTCTGAAACAGCGGATGACGACTTCGCTTTCCGTGCCATGCGGGATTCTGTAGCGAGGAGCGACCCGTCGGCCTGCTGTATATCCTCCATTTCGATGCCCTCGTCCTCGCTCGAGTTGGGATCCAGGTCCGCGACTCCCTCATCCGCGTGTACATGTTGCTTTTTCGCCTTCGCATCTCTGCGAGCCAGGATGTCCAGAGGGTTTTGAAAGGACATCTCTTTTGCAGCCATCTTGGCCTTGTCCTTTTCGCTCAGAGGCTTACGGAAAATCTTGATGCCACGGTCCTTTCGGTACGTTGGGCTGATGCCCGTGCAACTGCCGCAGGCCTTCCGCTTGGTCAGATCGGCATAGAAGTCCTTGATGACTTGTCGCCGCGCATCGGAGATGGTCTCGTTCTTGTCGCGGACAGCACGCGCATCGTGCTTTGTGATGCCTGCCCTCTTCATGCAGCGCTTTACGTAGTTGTTGCGCTGGGTGATGATGTCGGCATTGTCGTCATCATCGTCATCCTCCGAATTACCGGCGTCTTCTGTCGTCTTGCCCTTCTCCATGCTGATGTGCTCGTGCATTTCGTTTGCTTCCTTTACTAGTCCACATCTTATCAACCGCAGCTTGGAGACGAATTCGCTGACTTGGACACGGGGGAGCTTGAGCTGGTGGCAATATGCGCACTTGCCCCGGAGCAGTCGCAGCAGCTGGTCCATGAACGTGAGGTGGTATACGGGTACGGGGAGCTCGATGTGGCCGCAGTGGCCGGGGCAGCCTTGGAAGCTGGTGAGACCGCATGTTCCGCATCTTGAAGTTTGTTAGCCGAGTGAATGAGCTTGTAGAAACGCGATGAAGCTCACGCATTGTCCAAGAAAGCGCCCAGGGCAGCGTCGTGCAGACCGCCAGGTACCGGGTGCAGCAGCGTATCGAAGGTGGTCGGGTTCGTGATGCGCTTCACCGAGAGCGACTTGATATCGCTTGTAGTCAAGAAGCCAAACTCGACGCCATTTATGGCCGAGGAAGTCGGCTGGTGGGTGTTCATAGCGGCGCCAGCTTGTCTTTTGCGCCTATTTTCTGGAGAAGTCGCGCGCAAAGGCGTTTAGTGAATGTTCGCAGCAGCGCGAGCCTTGCGGGGAGTTTTTTTCGGGACCAGAGAAGTTCGGCCAGGGTTTAGCCGGCAGTGCCAAGGCGCTTGTCGAGGCGGCAGCGCGGATTTCGCGTCACTCTGCAGCGACTGGCTTTCATCATCCACCACACCCCACCCGCCAGTTTTGGGACACACTCGCCGGCTACATCCTACGCGCATCACATGTAGTGAATTGCGTCGATTCTCTATAGCGCTACAGCGACGACATTGCGCGAATTCAACCGGACTTCACACCCGATCCTCCGCTTACGCCAATCACACGACCCACACTCCTTTATCCACCACATCCACCATGACCATGGCAGAGAAGCGCCCCTACCCCGACGGCCAGGGCCCGAATGGAGACGCCAAGCGCGCAAAGGCTTCTGATGCCATCGAAGCCGCGAGGGCGAAAGCCAAGGCAAAGGCCGCTGAGATCGCAGCCCGTTTCGCGAAGCAGCCCGCCGCTGCGGCTCCTGCACCGGCGTCGGCTGGCGCTAGCGAATCAGTCCAGGACAAGCTGGCTGCCATGAAGGCACGGATGGAAGCGCTCAAGGCCGGCTCAGGAATCGCGAAAGCGCCAACACCAGACTCCACTGGCCCTCGCTTTGCGACAACACTGGGCAATCGCCGCTCAGAGACACCCAAAGTCGACCCCAAGGCCAAGCCCGCTGCCTCGAAGCAGAAGCAACAACAAGAGGAGGAGCTGGAGAATCCATACTTTGACCCCAAGGCTGCTGCCCTTGCCAAGAAGAGAGGCCCTCGTGTCCTGGCTTTCAATGAGCATGGAAAGTACCTCGACCAGGCCTCCAAGCTGCGCGCGCAACGCCGCCTAGAAGAGATCAAGAAGACGCTCGCCATCCAAGCACGCCGCGCTGGTCTGGACGAGAATAGCGAGCGCGGATTCCTGGTTCAGGCACCTCCGGACATCGAATGGTGGGACGAGGGTATTCTGGCCGAGCCTACCTACGAATGCTTGGACGACCCGACCAAGGTCAAGGTTGAGACCGACGATTCCATCATCACTCTCTACGTCCAACATCCTCCCCTCCTGAAAGCGCCCCAGGATCAGCGTCTAGTCCAGGTGAAGCCCATGTATCTTACCACCAAGGAGACACAGAAGTTACGCAGAATGCGCCGTGCGGCCGACCTCAAGGAGCACCAGGCTAAGATTCGTCTCGGTCTGGAGCCGCCTCCGCCACCCAAGGTCAAGCGCGGAAACATGATGCGTGTCATGGGTGAGCAAGCTATCGCAGATCCTACTGCTGTAGAGATGCTCGTCGAGGGACAGATTCAACAGCGTCACGACGATCACATCACTGCAAACGAGGATCGGAAGTTGACCAAGGAAGAGCGAGCGGCCAAGCTTGCAGCCAACCAAGAGAAAGACGCGCAGAAAGGTCTCTACATGTGCGTCTTCAAGATCAACACACTCGCCTACGGCAAACATCGTTTCCAGATTGACAACAACGCGAAAGAACACGCGCTTACTGGTATCACCTTATTCAACCCCGATCTCAACTTGGTCGTTGTCGAGGGCGGCGCGTATGCAATCAACAAGTACAAGAAGCTCATGCTCCATCGCATCAAGTGGCATGAGAACGGACCACCAACAGAGAACCAGGCCGAGAAGCAAGCATCGGATCCAAAGTGGCTGAGGCCAGTGACCGATACCGGAGACGTCAAGGACCATTCATCCAACAAGTGTATCCTCATCTTCGAGGGTGAGATCAAGGAGCGCTCCTTCCGCAAGTGGGGTTCAAGAGTCTGCGAAACCGCTGGCGAGGCTCGTGAGACACTTGGAAGGGCCAAGCTTGACAGTCTGTGGGCGCTCGCCAAGAGCATGGAGTGAGCGCGTCTTTCATCGCGACTTGACTATCTAGGGTTACACTGTATCTTTGGCGACCTGGGCCGACATCATTTCGGACACATACCATTCAGGGCGCTCACTTGGAAAAGCGAATTTGGGAGGTCTTCTCTTCATGCTCAATGTAAGTTTACTCATAACTCCATAGTTTGGAATCTACGTATTAATGCACCTTCTCTTGTTCCAGCCTCGCAATCGTGATGTTGCATATAGTCCGCATCTGCCCGTGCCATGCTAGCCGAGCTACTACAGAGCCTCTAGAAACCTACATGGGTATGGTAAGTGTCATAGCATGCGACCTACACGTGATGTATTCGGCAGAAGTCGAGATAGATATGAGCGTAGGTGTTTTCCTAGTACTCTGTCTTCCTCAAACCACGTTACGAGCGTGTCTTCTGTTCTCTCCACTTTAGTTGTATGCAGCAACGTGCCTCTTGAAGTTTTTTGTGAGCTGGATGTCATGATCGTATGCTCCAGGCCCTACTTTCAGCTGCCTCGCTGAGTGGCATACCGATCGTAGTTGCAACGGTAGGCTGGGGTGCATTGGCCAGATTGGGTGCCGCGGAGGCCTCCACGCTACCTCATGACGTGTCATACGTCAGTGTTGGGCATTGAGGTAGGTGCCTCGGGGGAAGGCATGCACGCGTTTGATACATCCAAAGGCAAAATAATAATCCACTGTGGAGGCTACATTGGTTTACTTTCTTTCAGCGATGAACCAGTTAGTGAAGCGTGTCTGTCTTCAAGGTGTCTTGGAATTTCCTGTGTGAAGTGGAAGTGCTGTGAAGGGTACATCCTTCCGCTGCTGAGAGAAGGGAGGAGCTGGACACTAGCATGCTCACTAGCGGTAAACAATCGGAGGAGTATATGATGGCTGGGTGACTTCGTTTTCAATTCTGTAGTATTAATATCACCAATATGTTCTACTATCGCTTACGAACATTCGTTTTGGCCGCCTGGTCATTTATTAACTAGTATTTTTTCGATGACCAGCCTTGGGTGTGGCTCATTGAGAGTGTTAGTTTTCCTCAATCTTCCTTTCACCCAAGCTTTGAAGATGGTTTGCTAATTACCTTTCTCATTCAGGGGCTCTGCTGTGTGTTTGCGCTGGTGAAAGCGATCTATAAAGGGGACTCGTGGCGGGACCTCATACCTGCTGACGGAAGCCTCGACGCCCTGCTGGGCCTGATCGGCGACGTCCTGGTCTTCCGCCTCTTTGCGAAGGTGGCCCAGCATTACGGGGCGTCACGAACGGTGGAGTCAGTGGGGAGAGGCCACACGAACGAACCTCGGGGAGAGGTCTAAGGATGCCATATGATCGACCGCGTTGCCGTTATGATACGTTATGATACGCCGGTCGTGCCCTTACGATTCCGACCTCTCCTCGCCCCTTCACCAGTTGCCGCAGCAGAGCACGCCACCCCAAGAGAAAAAATACAAAAAAAATTTAAAACCCAAAAAAAAACCGAAACTCCAAAAACGTTCCACGTTACGACGCTTCTCGTCTTGCCGTCGAGGCTTCTCACCAAGAAGAACCGCCTATTTGTAAGCCTTCACAACCTCTAACATCAGCTCAATTTCTAACATGATGCACAGCTTGTTCAAACTACATAACGGTTCCTCATCATAGCGGCACCGGTTCATTCAACCATGGTACAACCAACTCGGTACACATCCACCGACCAGCCCTCCTTGCGTCCATATAACAAGCATGCGGCTTGTACCTCAACATCATATTCACACGCCGCATTCTTGCCTCGGTCGAAGCTATGACAAGCTTGTGGGATGATTTCACCTCCTGGTGCGAGTTCGTTCGGCGGGACTTGAGCAACGCGCCAAACTGGCACATCGTACTGCTCCTTTGCGCACCACCCGGACTATTGGTGTACACCGCAATAGCTCTCAGGAACAATTACCCAGGCACGTATGCAGTCTGCTACTGGAATGCTCCAGGCGAGATGCGAACATCGTATCCTGAGTGCCCGTTCAACCGACACGTCTTCGAAACACCTACGCATCGCGGCTGGCCAGCCTTCTACATCTTTGTCGGCGCCACGCTCCTATACAGTCTCATCGCCTACCGTAACAGACTCCGATGTCTGCTGCAAGGCACATTCTGGCTCCACTTCCTCATCACCACCGTCATCCGGGTCCTGTCTATCTTCTCCGGCTGGAGCACCCAACCCAACTGGTCAAGCTTGGTCTGGAACTCCAACTCCGTCGGTAAGATCTTCTGGCTATGGCTGCTAGTCGAAAGCAGATATTGGAGCTGGAGCTACCTCGGTTTCTACGACGATTACTACTTCCGCGAAGAGACCCGTACCGTGCACAACCGAGGCGGCGACCCAGTATGGACCTTCACGTCTGAAAAGACGGACGACCCAACCGACATGCTCTACTTCCTCTATAGCCTCATCTTCCGGCCATGGCGCGACATTGCAGTTCGCTTGTCGTACATGCACCTCGTTGACAACGCAATCCACGTCATCTGGTTCCGATACTTCCACGTCGACGCTCCCTACACTACTTACATCAACAATTCGGAGATCTTGACTATCCTCCTCTTCGTCACTCTGGCTGTATACACTTACGCACGCATGCGGACGCACGTGTACTTTGACGACAACGTTACCGGTCCGCTTGTCGATATCAAAAGCACAGTCCCGCTGCCCATTCGATCGGCTTCGCGCGATCTTTTTACCTTTGCTTCGACGCATCATGTTTTTCGTGCGTGCTCTGAGAGGCGTCAGGCGTTCATGATTGCCTTGTGTTTAATGACGACTGGGGCGCTGGCGACTTGGGAGTTGCATTTGGGGTTCAAGATCTTCTGGGCGCTTTGCTTTAACGCTACTTTGTTTATGCTCGCGGCGGAGTTGGAGGTCATGAGACAGACGGGTAGGAGGGAGTTGCTGAGGGAGATTGATCGTATGTGAGGCCTGGCCTGGGAGAAGGTTGTGAGGAACATGGGGGGGTGGGGTGGGATCACACTATGGATGTGACAGAGTGGGTAATTCTGCTTGGTATATCGGGTGGTAGGATATCAATGTGTATGAGGGTATCGTTGGTTCTGTAGCCCGGCTTCTTGCAAGGCACCTCCTTGGATGATCAATCGCAACTACTGGCCATCATTGCTCCAACCATTGCTTTAATCCGTAAGCAAAGACAGAGGCTATCACATGTCCGGGAGAAACGACAGAGCAGGTATTACTCAAAAGGCGGAATAAAAGCAACTAGTATCCATGATGAAAAGTAGCTCAAACCGTACAACAGATAAGGATTACAAAAAGAAAGCCAACACAATATCTCCGATGGGATATCAAGACTGCATTCACCTACCCAACCTATTTACAAAAGAACAACACGTTCCCTGAATCCAACCCACACACATACGCAAAGAAAATAGCAGGTAGTCTAAATAGATTGGGGTAATTAACATCTTCGTACGTGCATCTACACTTCCACCTCTTCCTCCTCCTGCCTATTATTCAAAACAACATCCCTCTCCATCTACACACCCAGATAAGTCCCGCTGGTAATCTTCTTCACAGTGGCGACAGGCTTCCAGCCAATCGCCGGACTAGGCGGCGCATTCTCCTCTGCATCCGCAAACGGATCCGCCTCGCCGTCGTCCTTCTTCGCGTTCAGTGGCGCACTCATGCTGACGCCTAGCCCGCTGCCTAGAGTCAAAGACTGCTCGTCGCTGATCTCCCAGCGGGCCTCTGTGTTACCGGGTTCGGCTTGGCCGTCGGTGATGAAGCGGGCGCGGAGGGTTTGGGGGGCGGAGTCTTTGAAGAGGGTCACGTCGCCTAGGCGCCAGTAGATGAGACCTTTGTCGCGCGAGAAGGTACCCGTGGGTTTCGATTGGCAGGATGTTGCTTTGGACCCGGGTTCAAGGCGGATTACGAGGACGAGGTTGCGGATGGTGATGCTGGTTGCGCCGCCGAGTTCGAATCGGGGGTTGAGGGAGTAGTTGAGGATGGCGGAGGTTTGTGTGGGTTCTGACTTCCAGGCTGGTGACAGGATGAGTGGTGGGAGGGATGCTATGTTGCTGTCTTCGATGTGAAGCTGATAGTGGAAGGCCACTGATGTCTTCATAATCTTCGATAGGTCAACGGTGTAGTTGCCTGGGCTATCTGTTGACTGCTCGATGAAGGCAGGGTTGGGCGCTACCTTCTCAAGCACGGGGAAGTTCTCCAGACGTATGCTCTCGGTGCCCAATGGACCGGCAGAGACATCGACGGGGTTGTACGCGAGCGCGACCTGCCCGATTACCATGGCCTTGGTAACGTTACCCTGCTCGAACCAGGCGCTGACGGTCTCCACTAGCGACGCATTGAGCCCTGGTTCATGCAGGTCCGGATGCCTGATCGTGGTGCTAGCGGAGCTGCTTAGCGATCGGCCCGATCGAATGGATTGCGTATCCGATGCTGGGTGGTCGTCTGACAGCAATGCGCGATGGGGAGGCTTGAAAGCTGGAGATGCAGGTTGGGGAGGAATGGCAGGGGCAGGGAATGTTGCTGAACCGGGGCCAGAAGCGAGACCAGAATCGCTCGTTGGGAGCGGAGGCACTTCGCCTATGCTTTGAAGCTCGGGTGCTGCGGGGTTTGGTACGAATATCGTGTTACGAACATCTCGGCGACCACGCAACGTGCTTGACCGCTTCGGCTGGGCAGCTTGCTGTATGGATGTTAGTATAGGATTGAAGACACCTCTGCTGTTACTTACTGTGCGCAGCATGTTGACCAGGTTGGCGGTAGCCGCATCAGCATCTCCATCTTCTTCCTGGATCGGAGCATTTCTGATATCGAGCTTGAACTGGGGTGGTGCGTTGCCGTCATTTTGTGCCCTGCTAATGGTTAGCTGAGTAGACTGTCGTGTATGTGGTCATCTTACAAGCCTGCTTCTCTCTCGGCTTCGGTGATGGCATCAAGAGCTGATGGAGGCACAGAGAAACCCTCGGCATCTTTCTCGGGCTCTGGCTGCGTCTCTGTGACTGGTGGTGGCGGTAGTGGCTCTTTGAGCTCTGGTATGGACTCTTGGACTGGTGCAGTGCCATTGACGGCGGCTGGTGCATCTGTCTCCACGGTCGACTCGGTTGTGGGGCCATTAGGCGCAACATCAGTGCTGGCCTGGCGGGTAATGCTTTGGGAATCGGATCTTTGAGAAGTACTGGGTCTCTGCGATTGTCGCAGAGGTGATATTGGGCGTTCCGCAGTAGGAGGCAGCGATGGGCCCTGGTTATCTCCCTTTTTCGATTTGCCCTTGCCAAATCCACTGAATGCCGAGCCCAGGTTTGAAGAAGATTGTCGGTCTGGTGATTGCGCTCGGCCGTACGGATGCGCACTTTGTCTCCTTCTCCCCAATACCGTGCCGAATCGCTTGAGGGGGTTGGAGCTGTGTTTCTCCGGCACAGAGCCACTCTTCTGGCTGCGGTTGTCATCAACTGCGGTAGGGGATGTTGGTCCAGAAGCTGGGGGTGCTAGGGTGCGCGAAGGAGTTGGTGGGTTGCTTGGTTTCCGCGAAGGCTGGGGTGCATCTCCGCTCCGCATTCGCAACGCCCACGTTTGTATTTCATCGGCGGTCTCAATGTTCAACATGGCATTCAGAGTCTCTTCGGCGGTAGTTCTACTCCGCTCTACCTGGTCTACCTCATGCGTTTGGAATTGTGTGAGCACATCGCGCAGGTGGTTCAGGCGGGTCTCGTCAATGGCCTGGAGCTGCTCGAAGACGTAGGGCGCCTGCGAGTCCCATTGCAGCTCCGCCTTCTCGATATCCTGTACGGCGTCGGCAACGGCGGAAGCTTTGGCCTTCGATCCCTTATCACGAAGCTTGCTTTGCTTCTTCTGCGCTGTGTCGATGTCTTTTGCGATTGCCGAGAGGTTCCCCTGGATGTTGCCGAAGCCCTGCACGTCCCGGTTGTTGGCAGAGAAGTCGCGAAGGGGTCGTTCGACGTCGGCCTCGATCCGGGAGGCCAGATGCGCATGCGATGCGGCGATGGACTCGGTTGCGCTCACGATCTTCTGCCAGGGCGTCGCGAAGATGCTGCCCCGTGTTAGCTGGTGTGCTATGAGACGAATGGGGCGGGTGCATACCCCAGATCCGAGGACTCATCGGGAGGATGTCTGTTTGCGAGCTTGCGCAGGCCGGTGACGTATTGTTCTTCGACGCGACGGCGTTCCTGCGCATTGGTGAGCACGTGTGGATGGCAATGCGCGGCAGCTGGGCCGGACGCACCTGCAGCCAGTCGGCAATGTGGGTGTTGAGCTGGCCGACATGTCTCATGCGGGTGTCGAGGACCGTCACGGCCTGGGCGGGCGACAGCGATGTCTATACATGGTGTGAGCCGAAGAAGTTGGGAGGCATCATCGAGGCACTCTCACCAGCAATGCCGGGTATTCTTTGCGTTGGAGCTCCATGGCGAGGAATGCGGGGGACGGGCGCACAGCCACAGAGAAGCGATTCGGGCTATTTACATGGAGAGGCAGCTCGGCGGGCTGGTCGGGAGTCGTGGAGCTGTCACAACTGCGCTGGCTGTCATGGCTTGGGGCTCGTCGCTTTCGGCCTAGTCCACCGCGGTTGCGTCCGGGAGTCTGACGTAACCTGGGAAACGACTAAACCTCGAGATGCCTCCCCTGACCCAGTCGGGGCGTTGGTGAAGATTCTGAGACGCGCCAGAACGTGTCGAGTGATTGCATAATATTGACCTCTGTGACCATGGCCATGCTGCCTTTGGGCACCGACCGCGCGGGCTTGGGCAGTGGCGGACGCTGAGTCGGGGCGACTGGTCTCCTTCTCTTGCCTGGCGACACCGCTACATGTCTCCTACCTCGACTTCTGCGTCTGAGTAATCGCGCCACATGGCTTCCTCGGACTGGCGAGCGAGCTTGGGCTTCACTGCCCGCCTGATGGCTGTCACAAAAATGCAGGTAACATGTTTACACCGTCACGCTAGGGAACCTGGTACATTCTAGTCCGGAACAGGGCCCGACCATGTGAATGGCATACTTGCTTGATCGCGATCTTCGATGGAAAACGACGATTTGGCCCAATCAGCACGCGTGGAACATTGAAATCCAAAACTAACATTATTGCAGGACATCAGCCTTCCAGGCAGCGGACCCTTCATTGTCGGCAGACGATGCTCGCAAAAAGGCCACTGTAGCTGAGACGACAATCTACGCAGACGCTCACTCACTGGTATAGACCAACATGGTGCTTTATGATTCCATTTTAACCATGTCACAGGACGACTACGACAGATTGTGCAATGACAAGATAACAAATCTGCCCAGGCCGTCACTCGACTTTCCAACACCAGAGGTCAGGAGTTGCTATACTAGAAGACATACATCAGCTAATTCGTATCCAAGGACGAAGACTATGTTCCAACACCCGGCGGAAAACCCGTTGGCAAGTACCAAAATGCACTGTACCATCGCGAAGGTCTCTTCTCCGTCATCTACAAAGCGCCTGCAGTTGGAAATGAAAGCTACTTTCCCACCAAGTCACCCACGAAGACCAATGTCGTGGCTCTGAAGATCACTACACCATCGGTAATGGAGCCTCCGCACGACTCACAGCGAGAGGCCAAGATACTCGCCATGGCGGCATCAGAGCGGGTCATTCCTCTCATAGAGACTTTCCGCGAAAATGGAAGCCACTTCGTTCTGGTCTTCCCATTCGTGCGCCACGATTTCAACGACCTACTGCGGGACAAGAAGCTGTCCAAGAGCCAGATCAAGTCGTGCTTGAAAGACCTCTTCACCGCCCTAGCCGATATCCATGGCAAGGGGATAATACATCGCGACATCAAGCCTTCAAATATACTCTTGAAATCCCTCGACGGACCAGCATATCTTTCCGACTTCGGCATCGCGTGGGCGCCCGGAGCACCGGGTCCAGAAGCACCGGATGCGAAGATTACCGACGTTGG